TCCCTGGGTCCTGGGATTGAGCCCCACATGGGGCTCCCTGCTCAGTGGGAAGTCTGTTTCTGCCTTCTTCCTCTGCCCCTCCCCCCCTCATTTTCTCTCTCTTTCTCAAATAAATAAATAAATGAAATCTTTTTTAAAAAGAATTTAATGTACAAAGGAGAACTGCAGCTGTTGTTAAAATCTAAAAAAGAATAATGAGTTAACTTTCTATGTTCCTATTAACCTTCTATTTTACTTTTCTTTCTTGGGCCTAGAAAGATAGTGACAGACAAGACCACATCTTTAGGGGCTTATGGTCAATTTTTACTGATCAGAATCCTAGAAACCCTATCATTCTGGTCTTACAACCCAAAATTTGAATAAGCATCACTTTCAAAAGATAGAGAGTCATGCTGTATCACTTTCTTGTGACCCAAACACTTAGATGTAGCGTTCTCTTACCTTGTTTAGTACTTTGATTCTACGCTGTGGAGCCTGTGACCCTGAGATGTAGTGAACAACTAGAAAATTTCACGCCCCTTAACCTTGTTTATGGAATCCTCAAAATAGCTTTCTGTTGTTCATGTTTTCCAGCCATCATAACTTCCCCACAAACACTTCTGAATCTCTGGCAGGACTTTAAAATTACTCTTGGAAGCTCAGATATAGCATTTTATTGTCTAGTTTGAGATGCTTACAGGGGTGGAAATGGGTATGCCAGAACATGACAGAGTTTTGGTGCAAACAGGATTGTTCTTTGTGTCCTCTTTCTTGTTGCTGTAACTGGCCATGGAAACTAATAAACTGGCACATGGTAGGAGGAGGAATTAACTTTCAGAATCTCACTACCATAGAGTAGAAAGGTAATAGAAAGGTGAGAAAATCAATCAACAAATATTCACACATGCATTCATTCAATAAACATTTACTGGCAACTTAGTGTGTAAGTGTGCGCCAGTACTTACAGTGTTAGCAGTGAAATATATGAAAATGACAGTTTTGGACCCTAGCCTGAAATGCTCATGGTTTAGTTAGGAGAGACAGTCCTGTAGATAAATACATTCACTATGATATAACAATTGCTATAGTATAGATCTGAACAATGTGCTAAGGTAGCACAAAGGAAGGGGTAACACACTGTGTGTGCGTGTGTGTGTACATGCATATTAGGGAAGGCTTGCTGAAGACATGATTTTTTTTTAAAGATTTTATTTATTTATTTGACGGAGAGAGAAATCATAAGTAGGCAGAGAGGCAGGCGGAAGAGGGGGAAACAGTCTCCCTGCTAAGCAGAGAGCCGGATGCAGGGCCAGATCCCAGGATCCTGAGATCGTGACCTGAGCCAAAGGCAGAGGCTTAACCCACTGAGCCACCCAGGTGCCCTTGAAGACATGATTTTTAAACTGAACTATAAAGCATGATTAGGCCTTAGGAAAGGTAGAGGGGTATTCCTGCCAGAGAAATGGCTTATGTCAAGGAACAGAGGCTAGGTGGGCCAGTGGTATACAGGATCTCTAAGTATGTAGTTGATATAGTTGGGTATATAGTCAATATAGTGGAAATATCATAGTTCAGCAGATAGAGATGGTGGGTGGGACACATAACTAGAAAGGGAAGCAGACACTGGACAAGTACATCCTTGTGTGTCAACCTAAGGAGTTTTCCCATGATAGATTTTAATTAGGAAGTAAAAGAATTAGATTTGAATTTTTAAGAGAAAAATTAACAATATGAGAGAGAATAAGTCAGAGTGGTCTAATTTTGGAGGCAGAGAGAATAGTCAAAAAGTCATTATATTAGTCTAAAGTGAGAACAGATGAGGAACTGCTTTTATATGGTGAGAGTGAAGATTAAGACAGGGAAGAATTTAAGACATTTGGAGAGTTAGTGTTGGTGGAATGTTGTAATTGGCTGAATAGAGAAAGGGAGGGTGTTGTCTCTGGCTTCTGGTTTGTGTGATCAGATTAGATCATTTACCCATGTGGAGAAGCCTCTACTTACAGAAGACCTACCATATGCTGGACATGCCAGGATATACATTACAGTTTAAAATATAGCCCCTGCTTATTTACAATATATGCATCTTTACAAAAGCTTATATTGGACAGGTGGAATGGATTGTAAGGGGGCTGTCAGATGAAGGAAAATGTATGATCAAGTAAAAGGAACATAGACGGGAGCGATTACGGTGAAATCTCAATATCTGAGAAGACCTATAGACAAAGCCTTCTCTCTCTCCATCCTTCATCCTTTTACCTCTTTGCTTCAGTTGAAACCTAATAGTTCATGGATGTATCATGGTCTGTATTTGGGTTTGCTCTTTTATTCACCACCTGCCACTGCTATGCCCACTGCTCACTATGTGAGGAAGACTGATGAACACTGAGTCCATCCATCGATCTTGATCTTGTCCCACCACCAATCAACAAAATCCTTTTTTGGAGTTCACACTACTTATCTACAGCACCTTTCTCATACATTTTGTCATTGTATGTAGACCTCTAGAACACTCTTCCATCTTTCTTAATATTTGTTTGTGATTAAAAAAAAATTATGAAGGGACACCTGGGTGGCTCAGTCGGTTAAGTGTCTGCCTTCAGCTCAGGTCATGATCCCAGGATCCAGGGATCAAATCCCGTGTCAGGCTCCCTGCTCAGCAGGGGGTTTGTTTCTCCCTCTCCCTCTGCCCCTATCCCTGCTCATGCTCTCTCTTTCTCATGTGCTATCTCAAATAAATAAGTAAAATCTTAAAAAAATAAAAAATGAAGATTTATCATTAAAGTGGGAAGAAAATTGAAAGACAAATGATAGAGACTAGATTTGTAGCATCCATAATAAAGGCCTAATTTCTGAAGATACAGAGCCCTTTCAAGTCAATAAGAAATAGGTGGATGGTAGAAAAACAGGCCTAGGATATATATATATATATAGAGAGAGAGGGTTTACAGAAGAAAGGGGCAAAAATGACCATTAAAATATTGAATTATATTAATTGAATGGATAGATAATTTTAAAAATGAAAATCAAAATATGGTGTAAGTATTCACCTAACATTATGATAATGATTAAAAAGATTGCTCACACTTAGAAACCTAGAATTGGTGAGAGTGAGAGTAAATAGATATTTCCCTACCCTCAGAGTGGGAGTGTAAAAATAGAGCAGATTTTTTGGAGGGTGAGGGGTGCCTGCATGGCTCAGTGGGTTAAATCCTCTGCCTTCGGCTCAGGTCATGATTCCAGGGTCCTGGAATCGAGCCCCACATTGGGCTCTCTGCTCAGCAGGGAGCCTGCTTCCTCCTCTCTCTGTCTGCCTCTCTGCCTACTTAAAAATCTTAAAACTTTTTGGAGGGTGATTTGCACTTTTATCAAAATGGTAATTTCCCTTAACAAGTATTTAAAGCTAAATGTTCAATGTCATTTATTAGAGTAGTGTTTATAAATACAAATTGGAAACAACCTAAATGTCCATTAACAGGCAACTGTGTGCATTAGATAAATATATCAAGCTAAATATTATTTTGAACATTGATGAGTTGCATGTATATAGTGATTGACATGATCTTGACTCTATTGTTACTATTTGCTTTTGCTATCAATTTTTGTAGATTAAACACATTCAATATTTAGTTCCCGATCACAATCTTTGCTTGAAATGTGGAATGATGCTGAAAATCTGATAGAATGGGATAGAATTATACTCTTATTTGGTGCCTTTACAACTCTTAGTCATCATTCCCTCGTGTAGTAACCAGTTTTGCCAATAATTTCTAGTCATTAATATTGCCGATCCTTTCCAATTTAAACATATTTTTTGAGAGCAGCTGTGTGTTACGTAATGTTCAGCCTCGAGGACACAGGAGTCAACAAGACAGATATAGTTCCATCCAGTCTCTTGTTGCCCTTACATTCAGATTGACATACTTAGCTGGCGTTAGATGCTGTGCTGTTATATTCTTTTTACTTATTCAACAAATATTTATTAAGCATCTTATGTATCAGACATTCTTCAAAGCCCTAGAGGACAAGATAGATAAAGTGTGCTCAAACAAGTTCCAAACTTTTACATTCTGGGTAGGTTGAAGTGAGGGGACCATGGCTCATGCAGGTTGGAAGTAGGGAATAGTCACATAAACAAAGAGTTAAATAAGAAAATGTTAGGGACTGAATTAAATGTTGTCACTGTTTAACCCTAGGCTCCCTAGAAAACAGCCTAAGATAAAAGCTTCCATGATAATGTTTTATTATGATACCAGGGAAGAGTTAGAGAAAAAAGGAAGAGAGGCAGAAAAGGAGGGAAAGCCAGTGCTAAATGAATTACTTAAGTGGCCACAGGTTTGTAACAATCAGATACTTGTCTTATAAGGTGTTTCCAGAAAGACAGCATGAAGTTTCTGCCTTTCAGAACAGCATATAGAAGGGTGGGGTAATAAGGCTGAGCAGTTGATTTGTTGATTCCTTACCATCTTCATTCTCTGCTAACTGCCCGGGCAGCCTTTGGCAAAGCCAGACATGAGTCTGATCTAGCTGGAAGGAAAGTGTGGAGCCCTCTCCTTGTTAGTTGGCACTGTCTATGGGGCTTGTTGACCTATAAAGGCTGTAGTGGTCATAGTGGTCAGAGCTTTATTTTGGGAGGAACTGTAATGACTGGTCACTAGGGCCATTTTGGCAAGGCAGAGATACCTGTTTTTCATGGGCTTGTGGTGGGGCACAAACTGGACCCAGTGCAGTTAATTTACACAGTGAATGAATAGGTCACTACACAAGGAGGGCCTCTTTGAGGAGGTGGTATTTAAGCTAAGACCTGAAGGACAATGATAATCTAATTCTCTGCAGGAATATGGAACAGGTAGTACAAAAGACCCCAGATAATGTGAGCATGGAGTGTTTGGAAGAAACAAGAAGGAAAGTATGTCTTGGTAAGGAAGAGAGTGGAGAGGACTGAGCTCTGAGAACACGCAGGGGCCAGGTCATATGAGGCTAGTAGGCAGGTGTGGAGGAGCTGGGATTTTATGGTAAGTGTGATGGAAGGTCTTCGAAGCATCTTAAACTGGGGCGTTAAAGGTGCTGATTTATATTTGGGAAGATCGCTCTGGACACTCTGGGAAGAATGGATGAAGGAAAGGAAGCCGGAAATCCCTGAAGAGGTACACATTTGAGAGCTTCATCAAAATGGGAAAATGAAGGGCATTTTAGCACCAATTTGCTATATCCATAGTTGTTGTTTGCCTTTAAATGTTGGATACAGTTATTGAAATTAACAGTGATGTTGATGCTTTCCCTTGAAGCTTCAGGTTTAACATATTAACAACCTCAGATTACCTGCTAAACATCCCAAGCTCCTCCAAGATGATCAGTTTTTGAGGCAGCTGGTCTTTTGCATAGCAACTCTGACCTTCAGTTCTTGAATTCATCCAGTCTTCTTTCCTTTTGACAACCAACCAAACACAGTGTAGAATATAACTTGTGATTGGCATCCAAATGTTAAAGCCAGGCAGATAACCAGGTTTTGACATATTGTTATTTTATTTTCCACACAATTGACTGCCCTGACAATGAGTCTTAAACCTTCTTGCAGATTGCCAAGCAGAGTTTTGGAAGCTAGTGCTTGATGTTGAATGATGCAGAACATTTAATAAATAGGAATATTTCTCCACTGATTCTCACCACACATCTTGATTGTGAATTCAGCACTGTTGTTTATTTGCTTCATTCAGATTGTGTTAATCAGGGTTTTCAATTATAATACACAAAATCCAACTGGCTACTTTAAACCAAACCAAACCAAACAAATAAAGTATCGAAATGATAGCAAATCAACAAAAGATGGAGGAAGGGGCTCCTCCATCTTGTCTTTGGGTTACTCACTCCAGGTGGAAGATCCAGGTAGGGGCATCTGAGGGGCTGAATCTTGCTCATGTGTCTATACACTGTGCTCCCAGGAAGGGTCCTTCCCCTTGGCTTTTATGGGAATAAAACAGAGCACTACCATCCACCAACAGTGGACTGGATGAGGAATGCTCTCTAAATTACCCCTAAATTGAAAATGAACTTGAATATTGGATAATTTTTTAAAAGAAGAAAAAAAGAAAAGAAAGAAAGAAAGAGAGAGAAAAAAAATTCACTACAGAGTGTTCCTAGCACCTAGGTTAGTGCTTGCGTTTGGTAGTCAATAATATATTTTTTTTTAAAGATTTTACTCATTTATTTGACAGAGAGAGACCACAAGTAGACGGAGAGGCAGGCAGAGAGAGAGAGAGGGAAGCAGGCTTCCTGCTGAGCAGAGAGCCCGATGCGGGACTCGATCCCAGGACCCTGAGATCATGACCTGAGCCGAAGGCAGCGGCCCAACCCACCGAGCCACCCAGGCGCCCCAATAGTCAATAATATTTTTAAAAGAAGTGGCTAAATTTTATTATAACTTCAAAGTCAGCTTATTATTGTGGTAATTTCCCCGTCTTGAAAAAATGGTGTGGTTTATTTGGCCACAAAACAGAAATCTAACTACAATTTTCTTCATCACATATAATAGCTAAAAAGAGCTATTTGTCTTTAGTAAAACTTAAAACTTGATAACTTTAACCATCAAATAGCTATCTTGGAACTTCCCCCCAATTTTCCTCTTAAAGTTTTCGGAAACATCAATAGGCAAGAATTCTTGGGAATTTCTCCAGCAGTGGGAGTTCTTTATATTCCTTGTGATTCAAAAAGCTATTTCACTCAGGAAGTTTATAGGTTTTATGTCTATGGGTTGATAATTTGTTTAAGAGCTTTCTAAACTGGCATGGCACAGACTATCACATTTTTAAGAGGAAAGAAGTACCAAATCTATTTCTAAAAAATAACATCTGTGAAATTGTGAATAAAATGATATTCAGATTATGAAGACCACATGATGCCATTTCAAAATGTTTTTTTTATACAGGTAGCACATTCATGAGGTTAATAAGACTGGATTTTCCTTTGATGAATATGCACATCCTAACTTGATGACAGTTTCATCCTATGTTCTTTTTTTGGCTGCCACCTGTGGCTACTTAGAAAGGTGTGTGCCTATCCCTCTGCCTCTGTGTGTGTGCGTGTGTGTGTGTGTGTGTGTGTGTGTGTGTGTATAGAGAAGCATGGGGAAATCTTGTAGAATTTATTATGGTAATTTCATATTTTGAACAAGGTTAATGACAGTTGTTAAGAAAGTGAGGCTATTCTAGGTATCTAAGCAAGCCTATTCCCCAGTAAGCTAAATTTTTGTTTATTTTCTGTACATCTACCTTAGTAGCTTACTGTCTGCCAATTGAAGTAGTTCCTGAAGGCAGGTTGGAAACTCTCTGATTTATGCAATCCAGAGATAAACTTTAATTCATTGAAATGGAAGATGTTATAGGAAGTGTTGGAGAGTTTGAAATTCCATTTTAGTTATTGCATTGCAATAAGTAAATAATCAGTTTTGATTTTTATATACTCATCTTAAAATGTGAAATTCTTATTTTTATCAAATGCAGCATAAATACTATTTCTAGTTGTACTGTACCTGTGTGAGTGAGCTTCAGGTGATAGAACATTGTACATAGAGTTAATTTATTGGGCCCACTCTAAATTTTTCTCACTTTATTATCTTCAAATCACACTTAACAAAGTACATTTACTTTCTGTAGTTTTTATTATAAAAACAAAATATATTTCCAAATTTAAAATTGTAAATCATCTTCTATCCTTTAGGCGTTGATATATAATCTTCATGGCCATTTATTTTTCCTTTTGAGAACAGAGTGGTGTAGAAAGTTGGATTGATTCCTTCTCAGTTCTTCCAGTTCTAAAGTCTGTGATTCTGTTTATATGTGCCTCATTTCTTTGGAATTTTATCACTTGTTATTAGTATGTGTGATTGGGAGGTCCTTTAATTGGTAACTACTAGTTTATGGACTTCTTTATACTGATATCAGTAAGTAGGTAATAATGTGGATGGAAAATCCCATTTTCAACTTAGTCTCATTAATTTAACAATGAATGGCCTTCCCAGGAATTCTTTCTAGTTCTTTTAGAAATTAATATGTAACCCCTAGTGTTTATTCTTATAATTAAAACAATCTTAGAATTCTTGGATTAATCTTTTAAAAAAGAAATTAGAAAAGAAAAATCTAGGGGCACCTGGGTGATTCAGTCATTAAGCCTCTGCCTTTGGCTCAGGTCATGATCCCAGGGTCCTGGGATCAAGCCTGGCATATGGCTCCCTGCTCGGTGGGAAGTCTGCTTCTCCCTCTCCCACTCCCCCAGGCTTGTATTCCCTCTCTTGTTCTCTCTCTCTGTCAAATAAATAAATAAAATTTAAAAACTTAAAAAAAAAAAGAAAAAAACCTGGCTAATAGATATTAGAAGGTATCTTGGATCTGAACTTTAGTTGATAAGGGAAAGATATAATTTTTCAAAATTATTATTAAGAAGCATAATAAGATCTATAATTATATATATGTATATATATATATATATACATATATATATATGCATATCTAAGCTATTTTACACCTTTTACATGATGGAAATCTGTCACTTTGACCGTCAGGTTTTTCATTCATTTCATTCAATCATTTGTTTTCTCTTTTATCAATTACTCTTTCTTCATATATTATATAAAGTGAAATATGCCAAATTAATTTCTCACAGAAGAATAAATCTTTTGAGAGTTCATGAGTCTTTCAACTATATCTATCTAGAATGATTATTAGATCAGTTGAAATGTCTATAAGCTTACTTTGATAGGCTGCTATTTGTCAGTACAATACACACAAAAGTTATTTAAATGAAAGAAAACTTTCCCCAAAACCTTCTTTGATTTAAACTTGATTCTGGTAGTCACTAATTCACTTTGTCAAATAGTTCAGGTTCTCTGCTCTTCAGACTTCATATGATTACACCAGGAGGCTCCTGGTGATTGGTGAGCCATGTGACTAGTTCTGGCCTATAAGTCATAAATAGAAACAATGTGTGTCACTTCTAAGATGGAGCCTTTTATTTCCTGTTCAAGACCCTTCAGAATTATTCTTTACTTTTACCACTGTGACTGGTGAGGGTGGTGGTTGCTCCATCATTTTGGGTCCTGAGTAAAGAGATATAGTGTATCCAGTCAACCTGCAATAGATATGTAAGGTGCAGAGAAAAATAAATCTTAGTTGTTACAAACCAAGGATTAACTAACTACAACCTGTGGGCCAAATCCCATCTGCAACATGTTTTTGTAAATAAAGTTTTATAGAAACACAGCCATGCTTATTTGTTTATGTATTGCCAATGGCTGCTTCCATGCTCTAACACCAGAATTAAGTAGTTGCAACAGAAACTGTGTGGCTAGCAAAATTGAAAACATTTATTATCTAGCTCTTTAAAGAAAAAGTTTACCTACCTCTATTCCAGTGATGGATCCAGTGGTCTTTTCTTATGGGTTGCTTCTGAACTGTCCTGTCAGGATGCTGATTTTCTCGTCCTCGCTTATCTAAGCTCAGCTATTGAGACTTGGATCTCAGTACCCTCTTGGACCAAACAAAGAGTGGGTATAAAGCAGGCAACAGAAATCTTAGATCCTGAAATACTGTAGTCTTTAGGGAATGCGGTGCTGTTTTATTGTTGAGGTGGCTGGATCAAACATCAGATTACAGAGTATGAAATCTAAATTTTTTATCGTTCCTATCTCCAAGTGAATAGAAATTAAGATGTTTTATTCAAGGAATATTATTATTCTTTTAAAAATAAGGTATAGGATTTGTCAAAAGGCTTGGAAAACAGAAGGTTCAGATGTCCTAACTAAATCTGGAAGTGCTGATAACTTTGACCATAATTGCCTACTTTCTACCCTCTACCTTTACCCTGGAAGTCTTCAGCATGAACATGTGCTCCATATTTTCCTTTTTGGGAACTTAACTTACATTGCTTTGACCCAGGGAAAGCAAGAATGCTCCTTAACCCAAGTATTTGTCTCTCCAAGACCCAGTTTGGTTCCTTAAAGTCCTCCCTTATTTCTCCCTCCTGTAAACTTCTGCAGTGATTTATGTATATATTTCTTACATCATGTACACCTTTCTCCTTTGAGCTTTCTCCTTTGTTTATATGCATGCTTTATCTCATTAACCATACCACAAAATCATGAGGGCACAACACA